TCGTTTTCCCTCGGGCGGCCTCGACGCCTCGAAAACACTCCAAATGAGGTCCGAATGCCCAGAATGGCCCCCGAGACGGCCCAGGAGGGCCACGAGTCGCCCACAGATCGGCCGAAAACGCCCACGATAGCCCCAAGACCGTCCAAGAAGCCTCCAAGACTTCCCAGGCCCCCTCCAAGAGACCCCCAAGAAGCCCCAAGAGGCCCCCACGAGGCTTCCAAGCGGTCCCTGAGAGCTTCCCAAGAGGCCCACAAACTACCCCCAAGAGGCCCCCAAGAGCGCTCGTCGTCGTCGTCGTCGTCGTCGCCATTCAGGGTCGGCGGCACCGGCCGTCAGGCCTTCGCAATATAGTTCAAAATAGCCTAAGATGCCCCAAGATGGCTCCCCAGATGCCCCAAGAAGCCCCAAGAAGGCTCCAAGTCGGCCCCAGGTGGCCGCGGAGCCTCCCCAGGATGCCGCCAAGAGGCCACAATCCTTCACAAAGGAAATCATTGAATTTTGCCTTCTCGCCTTTTCGTTGCCGATGGCCTTCCGAGGCCTCATGCCAGCTCCAAGAGGGCCCATGAGGGCCCCAAGAGAAGCCCAAGAAAGCCCCAATACCGCCCCAAGAGCGCACAATAGCGCTCCAAGACCGCCCCAAGAGGGGCCCAAGAGGTGATTTTTGGGGCTCCAGAGGGGGGGTCGAAATTAGAGCCCCCATCTTTTTTGCTTAATCTCCTCCAAGATGGCCCCCCAAGTGCGCTCCCAGGAGCGCCTCAAGAGGGCCCCAAGAGGCGCCCGGAGGCCCCAAGACGCGCGCAAGAGGCCTCCAGGAGGCTCCCAAGAGACCCCCACGAGGCCCCAAGAGGCTCCCCGAGGCCCCCAAGACGCTCCAAGAGACCCCCACGAGACCCCAAGACGCTCCAAGAGGCCTCCAAGAGACATCCCCGAGGAGACTCTGAGAGGCATTCAAGAAGCCTCTGGCCCTTCTGCTCGCTCTTCTCCTCCTCCTCCTCCTCCTCCTCCTCCTCCTCCTCCTCCTCCTCCTCCTCCTCCTCCTCCTCCTCCCCCCAAGAGAGGCCCAAGAGAGCCCCAAGACGACCCCAAGAGCGCTCAAGAGTGTCCCAAGAGCGCTACAAGAGGGACCCTTCTTCTGTGTGCTGCCCCTGCCCACTTCCCTGAGCGAAGCAAGTCCTCTGGGCATTGTCTCTGGATGGGCCGGTGGGGTTCCGCGAAGCGTCAATAATTAAGCCAAAACGTTGTAGCGCGAGTTCATTTGTAAAGTGCCAACACGCAGGGACTAGGGCCAGGAAGCGCAAACTTCATGATGACACAAGATCCCGTACATGGATATTCTATTCGAGCTCTGTGGCCCAAGATGCCCCCCAGACCCCCGAAATTAATATCAATTAATATGGATGGCGTGACGACGGGGGGGCGTGAGTGGACATAAATATTCGAACCCCCAAACACCGCCTTCACTGAGATCAACATTGATGTCGGGGGCGTGGGGGTGATTTAGAATCTCCCTCGAATGTGTAAGGGTTCGAATAGATTGTCCATCTACTATGACGGACTGTGTCACATCGAGAGTGCTGGTCCTTCGGAGGGAGGTTCTAGGGCAAGTCAGTACTGCAGCTTCAAAAATGGGGCCAACGCTGGAGCTGGAGCACCATTGTCGAGGACTGGCTCTTCAACATGAAGCCCACGCTGTAGACGTACAGTGGAGGCCAGTCCACAAGAAACCTTCCACAAGAAACCCGACCCTGAGACCCCAGGACGCCCATTGATTTTTGGTGTGAGAACGTCACGCTCTCCACAACAAAACCATCGAAACCCAAGAAACCCAGGGCACCCAGCAAGGTGTTTCTTGGCATGGGTCTCCACTGCAATGCTATTTCCCAACCATCCTGTGGTGTTGGGTCCTCGTTTTGAAGAGACGGTCCCCGCGTTCTTCTTCTCTCCTCCTCTTCCCCCTCCTCCTCCACCGTCCGCGTGCGTCCCGCACACCCAAGACAACGTTTCGTGGCCCTCCTCCCCTCTCCTCCCTGCGTTTCAAGCACCCACTACAGCGTTTCGTGGCCCCATAGGGAGCCCCACCGGAGGTCCCAGTGTTACCGTCCGCATGCGTCCCGCACACCCAGTACAGCGCTTCGTGGCCCCATAGGGAGCCCCACCGGAGGTCCCAGTGCTACCGTCCGCATGCGTCCCGCACACCCAGTACAGCGTTTCGTGGCCCTCCTCCCCCTCCTCCCTGCGTTTCACCCGCCCAGTACAGCGCTTCGTGGCCCCATAGGGAGCCCACCGAAAGTCCCAGTGCTACCGTCCGCATGCGCCCCGCACAACCAGTACAGCGTTTCGTGGCCCCATAGGGAGCTCCACCGAAGGTCCCAGTGCTACCGTCCGCATGCGCCCCGCACAACCAGTACAGCGCTTCGTGGCCCCATAGGGAGCTCCACCGAAGGTCCCAGTGCTACCGTCCGCATGCGTCCCGCACACCCAGTACAGCGTTTCGTGGCCCTCCTCCCCCTCCTCCCTGCGTTTCACCCACCCAGTACAGCGTTTCGTGGCCCCATAGGGAGCCCCACCGAAGGTCCCAGTGCTACCGTCCGCATGCGTCCCACACACCCAGCACAGCGTTTCGTGGCCCCATAGGGAGCCCCATCGAAGGTCCCAGCGCTACCGTCCGCATGCGTCTCGCACACCCAGTACAACGTTTCGTGGCCCCATAGGAAGCTCGACCGAAGGCCCCAGTGCCCCCGTCCGCATGCGTCCCGGAAGCCCAATTTGGCATTTTCACCCACCCAGTGCAGCGTTTCGTGGCCCCATAGGGGGCTCCACTCAAGGCCCCAATGCCACCGTCCGTATGCGTCCGGGAAATGTAATTTGGCATTTTCACCCGCGCAGTGCAGCGTTTCGTGGCCTGATAGGGCCACCGAAGCCCCCAGTGGGACCGTCCGCATGCGCCCTGGAAACCCAATTTGGCATTTTCGCTCACTCAGTAGAGCGCTTCGTGGCCCCATAGGGAGCTCCACCAAAGCCCTCAGTGGGACCGTCCGCATGCGTCCCAGAAACCCAATTCGGCACACCACCCACACGGTACAGCGTTCCCCCCCGCTCAGTGCAGCGCTTCGTGGCCCCATAGGGAGCTTCACCGAAGCAGATATTCACAATTACGGTACCCACAACTGCAAATGGTTGGGACCGTCGCCAGGATAATTTCAAAGACATGCGGCTAATGCCGCGGCCGAGGCGCTATTTTGAAGGACTGAATGAAGTCGCGGAAATGGCGCCCACGATGCAGCTGAAGCACCTTTGAAATCGACAAAGATGCGGAAATGAGGCCAGCGCCGCAGCAGGATCACTACGCTTAATGACCGAAAGCGTGGGGATGGGGCCACCGCCAACACTACAACGGGAGCATCATTGAGAAGGATCGAAAACGCGGAAATTGCGCAAATGCTGCCGCGGGAGCGCCACTGTGAAGAACCGATAACTTGGAAATGGAGCCAGTGCTACAGCGGGAACATCACTCTGGCAGGACCGGAAACGCTCGGATTGGGACAACACATAAAGAAATTATAAAAAGTTGAAAACCAGTGTGTAACAACTCTCAACGCGTCTTCGGGGGAGACACTCATATGGTGTAAATCTGAAAAAGAGCGTGTTCTACCGCTGCTGGCGGAAAACCGGGGGCGGTCACTACTGGTTCGAACCCCTCCCCCCCCCCCTCCGGAAAACCGGGGGGGGGGTCACTACCGGTTCGAACCCCTCCCCCCCCCCAGTTCATCATGAAAAGGTGGGGGGGTCACTACCGGCTCGAATCCCCCCCCCCCTCCCCTCGAAAACCGGGGGGGGGTCACTACCGGTTCGAACCCCCCCCCCTCCTCGAAAACCGAGGGGGGGTGCGGACAGTGGTGGGGACGGTGGTGGTGGGGACAGTGGTGAGGGGACAGCGGGACAGTGGTGGGGACAGTGGGACAGTGGTGGGGACTGTAGTGGTGGGGACAGTGGTGAGGACAATGGTGGGAACAGTGGGGACAGTGGACAGTGGTGGGGACGGTGGTGGTGGGGACAGTGGTGTGGGGACAGGGGGAGGTGGAAACAGTGGGACAGTGGAGGGTACAGTGGTGGTGGGGACAGTGGTGAAGGCGGTGGCGAGGACGGCGGTGGGACAATGGGACAGAGGTACAGTGGGGACAGTGGTGGGGACAGTAGGGACAGTGGTGGGAACAGTGGGACAGCTCAGTGGGACAGCGGAGGAGTCAGTGGGACAGTGGGGACAGTGGGGATAGTCGGGCAGTGGTTGGGGCCGTGGAGAAAGTGGGGAGAGCGGAACCGTGGTGGGAACAGTGGTGGGGACAGTGGGGACAGTGCGACAGTGGTGGGAACACTGGTGGGGACAGTAGGGACGGTGGTGGAACCAGTGGGGACAGTGGTGGTGAGGACAGTGGTGCTGGGAACAACAGTCGGGGATGTGGCGCGGACGGTGGTAGGGACCGGGAGTCGTTTGCTGGCGGTGAGTGGGGGGGGTGGGGAGGGGTTCGAACCGGTAGTGACCCCCCTCCGGTTTTCGAGGGGGGGGGGGGTTCGAACCGGTAGTGACCCCCCCCGGTTTTCGAGGGGGAGGGGGGGGTTTTTGCCGGGGGAAGGGAGGGGGGGGGGTCCAGCAGGGGGGGGGATTTTCGGAGGGGGGGGGGACCCCCGGGTTCCGGAGGAAGAGGGGGGCAATTTTCCACAGTAAAGCGGCGGTGGATCACGCTCTCTCAAATCTGAAGGACGAGGAGGAGAGGAGGATGATGAAGAGGAGGAGGAGGAGGAGGAGGAGGAGGGGAGGAGGAGGAGGAGAAATAGGAGGAGGATAGACATCGAAATGGTGTAAATCTGAAGGAGGAGGAGGAGGAGGAGGAGAAGGAGGAGGAGGAGGAGGAGGAGGAGGAGGAGGAGGAGGAGGAGGAGGAGGAGGAGGAGGAGGAGGATCGACATCGAATCGGACCGGTCGAATTAAGTTCAGCCCTGGCCTGTCGGACTCGACCCTGAGGCAGACCTCCTCCACCCGCCGCAGCGCTCGCCGCGCCTCGGCGGCGCGAAAGTGGCGCTGGATGCACTTGGCCGCCTCTGGGAGGAGGAGGAGGAGGAGTACGAGGAGGAGGAGGAGGAGGAGGAGGAGGAGGAGGAGGAGGAGGAGGAGGAGGAGGAGGAGGAGGGGAGGAGAGGAGGAGGAGGAGGAGGAGGAGGAGGAGGAGGAGGAGGAGGAGGAGCAGGAACAGGAACCGGAGGATGATAGGAAGAGGAGCAGCAGGAGGAGCAGGAGGAGGGAGGACGAGGAGGAGCAGGAGGAGCAGACGGAGGGAGGAGGGAGGAGGGAGGAGGGAGGAGGGAGGAGGAGGAGGAGCAGGAGGAGGAGGAGGAGGAGGAGGAGGAGGAGGAGGAGGAAAAGGATGGGGGAAGGAGGACGAGGAGGAAAGAAGAAAAAGGAAGGGGCGGAGGAGGAATGAGGACGGGGAGGAAGGAAAAGGAGGGAGGAAGAGGACGAGGGGGTGAAGAACGACGACGACGACGCTTTGGAGGCGTTGAGGTTTTTCTAGACGTTGGCCACGGCTGCACGCGGCCCGAAAAACTGGCCGAGGTGCAACCTGGGAGAGCGGGACATATTTAGAATGGATTTTGGATGGATTTTTCTGATTTTGAACAAGGGGGTTCGAGGCTCGTGATTGGATTTATGTTGTTGTTGTTGCTGCTGTTGCTGTTGTTGTTGTTGTTGTTGCTGCTATGGTTATGGTTATGGTTATGGTTATGGTTATGGTTATGGTTGTTGTTGTTGGTTGTTATTGGTTGTTGTTCCCAACCATCCTGTGGTGTTGGGTCCTCGTTTTGAAGAGACGGTCCCCGCGTTCTCCTTCACTCCTCCTCATCCCCCTCCTCCTCCACCGTCCGCATGCGTCCCACACACCCAGTACAGCGTTTCGTGGCCCTCCTCCCCCTCCTCCTTGCGGTCACCCACCCAATACAGCGTTTCGAGGCCCCATAGGGAGTCCCACCGAAGGTTCCAATGTTACCGTCCGCATGCGTCCCGCACACCCAATACAACGTTTCGTACCGTCCGCATGCGTCCCGCACACCCAATACAGCGTTTCGTGGCCCCATAGGAAGCTCTACCGAAGGTCCCAGTGCTACCGTCCGCATGCGTCCCGCACACCCAGTACAGCGTTTCGTGGCCCTCCTCCCCCTCCTCCCCGCGTTTCACCCACCCAGTACAGCGTTTCGTGGCCCCATAGGGAGCCCCACCGAAGGTCCCAGTGCTTACGTCCGCATGCGTCCAGCACGCCCAGCACAGCGTTTCGTGGCCTCATAGGGAGCTCCACCGAAGGTCCCAGTGCTACCGTCCGCATGCGTCCCGCACACCCAATACAGCGTTTCGTGGCCCTCCTTCCCCTCCTCCCTGCGTTTCACCCACCCAGTACAATGTTTCGTGGTCCCATAGGGAGCCCCACCGAAGGTCCCAGTGCTACCGTCCGCATGCGTCCCGCACACCCAGTACAGCGTTTCGTGGCCCTCCTCCCCCGTCCACCCTGCGTTTCACCCACCCAATACAACGTTTCGTGGCCCCATAGGGAGCTCCACCGAAGGCCCCAGTGCCCCCGTCCGCATGCGTCCCGGAAGCCCAATGTGGCATTTTCGCCTACCCAATGCAGTGTTTCGTGGCCGCATAGGGGGCTCCGCCCAAGGCCCCAATGCCACCGTCCCTATGCGTCCGGGAAATGTAATTTGGCATTTTCACCCGAGCAGTGCAGCGTTTCGTGGCCCCATATGGGGGCTCCACCGAAGCTCCCAGTGGGACCGTCCGCATGCGTCCCGGAAACCCAATTCGGCACACCACCCACAACGTACAGCGTTCCCCCCCGCCCAGTGCAGCGCTTCGTGGCCCCAGAGGAAGCTTCACCGAAGCAGATATTCACAATTACGGTACCCAAAACTGCATATGGTTGGGACCTTCGCCAGGATAATTGTTTTTGCTTTTTGAGGCTCAGCGGGGCTTCTCGTCGCCACCGCTGGATTCTCGCGAAGTGCCTGTCAGAGAACATCCAAATATAGGTTTGGGGATCAATTCTTGATGGTTGAAGGAAGAAAAGCAAGAAGAGTGGTGAGGACGCGTAAGAGGAGGAGGAAGAGGAGGAGGAGGAGGAAAAGGAGGAGGAGGAGGAGGAGGAGGAGGAGGAGGAGGAGGAGCAGGACGAGGAAGAGGAGGAGGAGAAGGAAAAGAAGGAAGAGGGCCTCCACATCTACCATCAGAAGCCGCTGCTCCCGCGCCTGTCGCCGCCCAGCGGCGCCACGGTAGTGGCGCTGGATGTACACTGCCGCCTGCGCCGTGGTAGTAGTAATGGTAGGAGTAGGAATAATAGTCGTCGTTGTCGTCGTCGCTGCAATAATTCGCCGGCCCAACGGGCCAGAGGCGTGCTAAAATCTCCGGTAACTACTTAACAATATTTCTAGTTCGCGCGCGCGGGGCGGCCCCTGGGG